AAGCACGTCATAGAGCAGAATCAGGCAGCACCACTTGATAAAAGGAGCCCTGCTGATTCCTGCTCAGCAGGATTCCACCATTAGGGACCACCACGGTGTTTCCTCTGTCCACCCTTCCCTCCACTTTTAAATGGAAGATTCTTCTTTTCTCTTTTTTCTTTTGTTTCCTTTCTTTTCTCTTGCTCTCTTTCTAATCATGGCTATCCTGCTTCTCAGGCACCTGTATATTGAGTGTGATGGGGTAAATGGCTTGCCTTTTATTGTGTTGGTCATCAAACCAAGAAGAGGCATATCTGGATTTGATGGAGAGGACTGCTTGGCACTAGAAATTCTGGACTTTGCGAGGCATTCAGCGACCCGGCAGGGCAGTTGAGGTGGACCTGATCTGTGGGTCCTGTCTGATAAGAAGAGTATACATACATACTTGGGAAAGTAGACTCTGGCAGAAACCGTAAGTTGACACCTGCCATCTGTTCTTCTTTATGATAATAGAACCCCTGATCTTTGGCTGGCTCATGGCAGCACAAAATAGAGACCATGTTCAGGCTCCTTTGCAGGTTGGCCTTAGTCATTTGACTAATTCTGGCTAAAAGGATGTGGGGTTTGCGAGGTGTGCGATGTCCATGGATTGTTTTTAAAAGATGTAGAGGTGGCTTCTGTCCCCTGAATTCTTGTGGGCTGGAATCTAGGCATAATGGTCAAAGTTTAGTGGTCACTGTAGACTGTGCTCATTAATGACATGTGGGCTGTAAGCCATGCATAGCAAATGCACCCAGGAGCTTGGGTCCCTGGTACATGGATCACCCTACTAACCTGAACAACTACCTGAAACAACAGAGAGAAATACATTGCCACTTTCCATCCTTCTCACATCAGATTTTCAGTTACCCCAGCTGTAGGCAATCCTTACTAATAGGCTGAGCCAGCCTCGATGTAAAGAGTAGTGGTAAGAGCCTGAACTAAGGTGGGAGTACTAAGGACCAAGAGGAAAACCTGCTGGTGATGGTGGAGAGGCAGAGTAGCCTGGATTTGATTACTAATTGCATGGAGAGGTGAGAGATAAAGAAAAGGAGAACATTGTGCCCAGGGTTTCTGGTCTGGACGGCTTGGACAGAGCCCAGGAGGAGGAGGAATGGGCATGGTTAGATGTCCTGGGCAGGGGGTGAGGAGTCATCTACACATTAAGGAATCTAAGGACAGAAGCTTGAAGAACACTGATAATTTGAGGAGTGGGCAGTGGAAGAGGCCAGTAGGTAGATAATGCCGAACAAGGGCAGACAGGTTAACAACGTCAGTCATAAGAAGTAAAATAAGATGAGGAGCAAAATCCTCAGGGATCTTTTCATAGAAATAGCCATCACCTGTTGGATGTGGAGGCTGGATGGCTTAGGAACCAATGTGAGGAGAGGAGATGGACACATTCCTCTAGGCTGCATTTTAAATGATGTTACTAATAAAGAGGAGAGAGTGTTACTGACACTGTGGAATGGAGGTTTTCGGAAAGTTAATTTTTTATTAGTTTTAAGTTTCGCATGGTGTTTAGTGTACTTACAGGATGCAGGGAGCAATGCAAGGTGGAGAGGTTGAGTTGTAGGATAGGGTGCCTCAAAAGCCTCGGAAGGCCCTGGGAGGGCACATGCCATAGGGTTAACCAAGTAGGTGCATTGCTTCCTGAGGCTGATGAGGTGGAGGCAGAAAGAAATGCCTCTGAAGAAATTGGATTGGGTTGCTGCAGAGTTTGTATTTCTCAGCTTCAATATTCTTGGTGAGGTAGGAGAGGTGAGGTTTCCCTTGGGAAAGGTGATGGGATTCTGGTGAACTTGAGAAGAAAGGAGCACAGAAAGACCACCATGGGGGAGAGAAGGAGCCAAGGGGGACAGGTCTATCTACCTGGCTTTGAGTAGAGGCCCCGTGTGATAGCAAGGCTAGCCTCTGGAAATTGCAAGGGTGAAGACAATGTGAGGCAAACCGATGAAGCTCAGGCCTTGAAGCAGAAGCTGAGGACGCTGAGCTGAGGGGTCTTACCTCTACCATCACTGCTGTAGTTAGTGCTGGCCCACAGAAGGGAGGTCCAGGTGCTAGCACACTCACGGTTACCGTCCTACAAGCAGCCTTCAAGGGCTGAGCACCAACGACTGGTGCACTTGTCACTGGTTTGGATTCCAAGTTGACAGCAAACTTGTGAGGGGAAAAAAAAAAAAAGGAATCCAGGCAATGAATGGGAATCGCAGGCACTCAGCCGTGGCCTGCTCACCGGCAGCACAGGGAAATTATTGAGGAGCTTCGGAGGGAAGTGAGCTGGAGATGCCTGGATAAACTCCAGAGAGGTCACCATCCTGGAAATGGAGGTGCCTAGATGCTGCCATAAGAGCTCTTCACAGAACAGGCCTGCATGGGACATCTTGCCTCACATCAGCTCTTGTTTGCTGGACCAAATTCTTGGTCATGTTTCTCTCCAGTGCTGATTCTCAACGGTTGGAATTAGGGTTTTCGTTTATTTTTTTTCCCCAAGCACTTAATTCACTGTACCTCCAAGATTCTAAATGATTTCATTGGACAAATCATGACCACCTCACCATTAGGACAGTGGGGGGTGGGTGGGGTGGGGTGTAAAGATCATTCATGCCCTGGATTTCCTTTTCTATCTCAGGCTCTTTGGATCTCCCCAAATTCATACATTGAAGCCCTAAGCCCACAGGGTGGTGGTGTTTGGAGATGGGGCCTTGGGGAGATAATTAGGCATAGATCCAATTGTGGGGATAGGGCCTTCATGACGGGATTAGCAGCCTTACAGGAAGAGGAGCCAGATCTCCCTCTCCATGCCCATACCCAGAGAAGGGCCGCATGAGGATACAGGGAGATGAGGTGGTTGGTGAGCCAGGATGAGAGTTCTCACCAGAAACCAAATGAGCTGGCACCTTGATCTTGGACTTCCCAGCCTCCAAAACTGTGAGACAATAAATTTCTGTTGTTTCAGCCGCCCAGTCTGTGGTATTTTCTTATGGCAGCCTGAGCAGACTAATATTGCATCCCAATGTAAAAACCAAATGAACAGAAAAAGAAAAGGGCATGGCCACACATTTGTACCCAGCCAAACTCCTAATACCAAGAATTCTTCTCAGTTCTTGAGCAGCATGGTGACTCCTGGATGCTAGATCATGTCATAATGGATGGCAGAGGGCTCAGTCCTGAGGTATAGCTCTTGCCCTCAAGCCTCACTTAGGTGTCAGGGTCTTGATTATGGCTTTATTAGGACTAAATTTCTAATGGAAACTGGTACGAAACAGATGCTGAGAGCACTTGCCCCCCTTGTATTAAGTCACCTTGTTGTAGATTACCCTCTAGAACCCTGTAATTTACATGTGGTGTCTTCTCATAGGAGCTCTTCAAGTAAATCCGAATTTGTTTAGACAATTTTATGGGTACTGTAAAACCACAATTGAACTTCAGGCCTTTGTAGCAGTACAGCCAAGATGCACTCTAATTAGAAAAAATTGCTGTTAATGTTGTTACGATGTGGTGGCTGCCCACTGCACCCCAGACCTTTGTTCTCCTAAATCCCTCGAGTCTCTTCTTTATTCTTCAGCTAAATAGACAGGCCCCTAGATTCTACGCTTTTGGAATTGTAATAGAGGAGCAATATTGTGCCTCTCTCTTAATTAACCTTGTTAACCAAGGATTTGGAACATTAGCTGGTTAGGCTAAGAGGGCCTTTTGAGCTGCTCAGTACACATCTGTAGTTGAGTAGGATGTCACTCTTGTGAAATAAGATGCCTTTTCTTCTTTGGCATACACCAAATACCTTTATTATTCTTTGAGTAATGGTGTGATACTCTTGTTTAGTGAAATAATGTGTGTAAAGGGCAGAGCTTCATGCCAGGCATAATAAAACCTTAGTTATTGCTTTTATCATTATAAAACAAGGTTGGTTTTTTTCCTCCCTCCCTCTTTTTAAAAGTTTTCTGTATGGAAAGGAAATACAGGGGCAGAATTGTCAGAACCATGCAGGCAAGCTCAAGATAAATCAGTCTGCGGTAGATTCCAGCTTCCACATTCCCTGAGACCTTTGCCTTTCTAAGAGCATCTTACCCCCACGATATTCATGACTTGTTTCTTTGACTCTCACTGAGTCTCCTGAGGTACTTCCCATCCTTTCCTGCTTCCCACACAAAAGAAGGTAAGAGACAAAGGCTGCTGTTTTTCTCCGAAGGCAGATACCCCTCCCAGCCTGGGAAGGAGTTCCAGGGATATGGCAATTAACGTATTTTTCTTAATCTTCTTTTTATAGTTAATCTCCAAATCATGAAAGCAGTTGGCCAGTTCATTAAACTGTAGGAATACAATAGGTCTGAAATGAAGGCAGCCCAGATGAATGCCAATGCATAAAACTGTCCCATTCGGTGGAAAAATACAACATGAATCCCAACCTGAAATACTAAATTAAACATTTGAAACTAACCACATGAATATGTTTTCAGACTAATAGGCAGCAGTTCATCTAACGCAGTGGAATGTCATCTTCAGAGTAAGAAGTAGCCATTCTTTGATCTCTTCTAGGAAAAAAAAATGCTCCTGTTTAGAATTTGGCATAAAATCACCTCCTACTAAGTTCATTCAGTGAATGTGCAGGAAGACTCCCTGACGCAGTGGCACCTGATGTGCCCTGAGTGGGACTGGCACTGAGTCTGGGAGTACCCAAGGCATGTAGAATTAAGCATTTGTATGGCCGCTTTGGGAAGAAGGCCATGGGACGCTGGCATATCCTACGCCAGGTGGCACAGTTTCAAAAAGGCCAAAGCTGAGAAGAAAAGTGATGGGGAACCCAGAGCTATGGAGTGCATTCTAGCAAAATACTCATCCATGCTCTTCACCTCTCACTGTTCCCTGCTGCAAGTCAGGCAAAGCCACCTGCTCCATTTGAGCCACCTCCCCAATGGCCAAAGTATAGGGCAGCTCATGAGACAGGATTCTTTTTCTCACACATCTGTTGCAAGCAGAAGTGACAAAAGCAGGCTATTTTTTTTTTAATTAAACAAAACAAAACCCAACCAAAAAGCAGATACCAACATTATTTTCAAAGGCATTGGTTGAAAATACTAGTCCAGAGAGCAGAAAAAGAATGGTACATGTAGTTTCCAGATATATTGTTGGACAAAAATGCTTTTCTTCATTGAAATAAGAATTATGGAATGCTGGCTATCAGATGACATCAGCCATTGAGTTGGTCTCTACTCTTTCTTGTTCTTGCCAACAAAGCCATCCATTATATTCAAGGCACCCATATAGTCAGCCACAAGCAGTGATACCTTGACAGGCAGGATACTAAAGAGAAACAAGAGAAGTTTTCTTGGTTATTATTATTATCATGAAAGCATCTTACCAACTCGGTGGAAATGCAGTGTCCCTGACCTGTTGCAGATGAAGTCATTGGCATACCCACACAGTAGTAGGGGGCTTGTCCACTATCGGGGGAGGGCACTGGCCTGGGGTCTCTCTATATGTCTTCTTGCTTTCTTTACGTTTACTCAACTCACTTCTCACATCAGTTTCCAGAGCCTCCCTGCACTATGTGATTATTGATGGGAAGCAGTGAAGTCTTGTGGAGTGGGAGGAGCCCGGCTTGAGTCCTAGCTTCATCACCTACAATACCATCCCAGGTACATTACTTAGTTCTCTTGAGTCTGTTTCTTCTGCTGTAAAATGAAGCCATCAAATCTCATTTTCTGGGACTCCTGTGAGGAATAGATAGGTCCCTAGACCTTTGGCAAGACCCAACTAGGACCACTCATCTTCTCTATCCCTGCTCACCCTTCGCAACAGAGGGCAGACCCCATTAATCCTGACATTCACACTGCAGAGCAAAGGGAGGCATGGTAAACCTAAGACTTGTCCTCAGGGTAGGATCAAGGAAAGGACACTGAGCTCACATCCATCTGCAGGCACCACAGGATGTCACATGTTACTTTTTCCATGGTATTTCCCCTGAGCAACACACTGAAACATCAGAGCTCAACTCGCATCACACCCATGCCTCCCACTCTGGGATTTCTCTTTCTTGCTTTGTTTCTTCCTAGCACTTAAGACTACCTGGCATACCTTTTCTTTAACTTAATTTTTTTGTCTGTTTGTTCTCTGTCACCCACCCCACAAGAAGAAAATCTCCATGAGGGCAGGGACTCTGGTCTTTCTTGTTCTTTGTTGTAACCCCAGATCCTAGGACTGGGTTAGCAATTCGTGGGGCTCACTGGGTGCTCTATCATGCTTACTGAATGAGTATTTGAAGGAATGTGTGATGTCATCCTCTTTATTGAAACTTCATGTTTCTAAATGGTTCTCAGGAACTATGTAGATCTCTCATTAACCAGGGTCCAGAACTAATATCTTATAAAAGTAAATATAACCTCTATGATCATTCAAAAACATTAGAAAAATTAAGTCTCATGTTCTTTACTGTTGGCATTACTATATCACACACTTCTATCTATTAGGCAATAATAGATGGCCACTGTCCTGTGCACATGCAGGCCGTCCCATAAACTGTGTGACCCTCACTAATCTACAAGCTTTTACAAGCACTGACTTTGAGGTTGTAAATGAGATAAGTGGCCAGGAGAATAAACGGCATGCTCAGACTTAAGAAACAGCTGGATCATAACCCCAGATTTCAAAGTGCTTGTCAGAGATCCTTTACCCTGCCTCCCACAGCCTGCCGGCTGTATCACTCCTGTGCTAGGTGAAGCCTGACCCATGAAAGGACACATGCAGAATTCTGTACCAAGTACAAAAAGAATACTTGTGCCAAGTAGATACAATTAACTGAAGAGAAGAAGGCATTTCCTTATGCAAGAAGGACAGTGGCTACCAGCCATAATATCTACCTTTAAATAACTGAAGAATTGTTGTCAAGAGGAATGGAATTAGACACAGTGCTAGAGGGCAGAGCTAGAACTGGTGAACATTTAAAGGAGACAGATTTCAGAGCCACGGAGGGAAGTGGGTTGATAATGGAATGTGCTTCCTTGCAAAGCAGAAGCCCTGATTGGGCAGAGGGTAGGGAGGTATGGTATAATTAGATGACCTCTTACAGTCCAGAAAATGAATTGAGATAGTGGATATATGCAGCTGCTCAGCAATCTGGCATTACCATTCCTATAGCTGGATCCCATGTTCACAGACTGCAGCTGATGGGTCTCAGCACTAAAATCCAATGGGGAGCAGAGAGGGTAAGCAAAGTTGCCCTCTGGTACTTTCACGAGGTGGTTATTATTTTAGTCTCCTGCCTCCAGCTTTTTAAGCCATCTTATGCTTCAAATTTATCCTCCACTGCCAGTTTTACCCATACCAGGGCTTCCTGAAATGTTTGGCTTTACTGTCTGCCCTTGACTTGGGGGATCTGTACTCAAGGAAGCGTGGACACAGTATCTGTTCCAACATGATTATTCTATGATGCCCACAAGAAAGACCATCTGGGGGGGAGGGGCAAGATGGCGGAAGAGCAGGGTCCCCAAATCACCTGTCCCCACCAAATTACCTAGATAACCTTCAAACCATCCTGAAAATTTACGAATTCGGCCTAAGATGTAAAGAGAGACCAGCTGGAACGCTACAGTGAGAAGAGTTCGCGCTTCTATCAAGGTAGGAAGACGGGGAAAAAGAAATAAAGGAACAAAAGGCCTCCGAGGGGGAGGGGCCCCGCGAGGAGCCGGGCTGAGGCCGGGGCGAGTGTCCCCAGGACAGGAGAGCCCCGTCCCGGAGGAGCAGGAGCTGCACCAACCTTCCCGGGCGGGCGGAAAGGGGCTCGCAGGGAGTTGGAGCAGGACCCAGGAGGGCGGGGATGCCCTCGGGCTCCCGGGGACACTAACAGACACCTGCGCCCCGGGAGAGTGCGCCGAGCTCCCTAAGGGCTGCAGCGCGCACGGGGGACCGGAGCAGCTCGGAGGGGCTCGGGAGCGGCTCCGCGGAGGGGGCTGCGGGGCGGGAGCGCGAATCCAACAGCGCAGGCCCCGGAGCACAGGGCGCCGGGACACAGCCCAGGATCCGGCCTCCCCCGGGACAGGCAGAGGCCGGGAGGGCCCAGGACAGCAAGGACGCTCCTGCCCCGAGCTGAGCAGATCAGCGGCCCCGCCCCGGAGCCTCCAAGCCCTGCGGACGGAGAACCGGAGCCCGGAGCCCCGTAGTTCCTGCGGAGGCTAAATCCAGGCTTCCAGAGTTGCCATAGCAACTGCTGCTGTTCCTCCTGGGGCCCCACGGGGTAAACAACCCCCGCTGAGCCCTGCAGCAGGCAGGGGCAGAGCAGCTCCCCCAAGTGCTAACACCTGAAAATCAGCACAGCAGGCCCCTCCCCCAGAAGACCAGCTGGACGGACCAGTGATACTCCCCCGTGTTCCAATACAACTTGTTTTTGGCCACTCTGCACTGAGCAAAATGACTAGAAGGAAAACCTCACCTCAAAAGAAAGAATCAGAAACAGCCCTCTCTCCCACAGAGTTACAAAATCTGGATTACACTTCAATGTCAGAAAGCCAATTCAGAAGCACTATTCTACAGCTACTGGTGGCTCTAGAAAAAAGCATTAAAGACTCACGAGACTTCATGACTGCAGAATTTAGATCCAATCAGGCAGAAATTAAAAATCAATTGAATGAGATGCAATCCAAACTAGAAGTCCTAACGACGAGGGTTAACGAGGTGGAAGAACGAGTGAGTGACATAGAAGACAAGTTAATGGCAAAGAGGGAAACTGAGGAAAAAAGAGACAAACAATTAAGGGACCATGAAGACAGATTAAGGCAAATAAATGACAGTCTAAGGAAGAAAAACCTACGTTTAATTGGGGTTCCCGAGGGCACCGAAAGGGCCAGAGGGCCAGAATATGTATTTGAACAAATCCTAGCTGAAAACTTTCCCAATCTGGGAAGGGAAATGTACTACAAAGCTGTGTTCATCAAGACAGTGTGGTACTGGCACAAAAACAGACATATAGATCAATGGAACAGAACAGAGAACCCAGAAGTGGACCCTGAACTTTATGGTCAACTAATATACGATAAAGGAGGAAAGACGATCCACTGGAAGAAAGACACTCTCTTCAATAAATGGTGCTGGGAAAATTGGACATCCACATGCAGAAGAATGAAACTGGACCACTTTCTTGCACCATACACAAAGACAAACTCAAAATAGATGAAAGATCTAAATGTGAGACAAGATTCCATCAAAATCCCAGAGGAGAACTCAGGCAACACCCTTTTTGAACTTGGCCACAGTAACCGGAGAAGGACAAACAGTGTATGTTCTCATTCATTTGGGGAATATGAATAATAGTGAAAGGGAATATAAGGGAAGGGAGAAGAAATGTGTGAGAAATATCAGAAAGGGAGACCGAACATAAAGACTTCTAACTCTGGGAAATGAACTAGGGGTGGTGGAGGGGGAGGAGGGCGGGGGGTGGGGGTGAATGGGTGACGGGCACTGAGGGGGACACTTGACGGGATGAGCACTGGGTGTTATTCTGTATGTTGGTAAATTGAACACCAATAAAAATTAATTTATAAAAAAAAAAAAAGACCATCTGTCAGGGAAAAAAAAAATCACTTCAATCTGTCCACAGATCATTCACTAAACCCACTTGTCTCCAACAATAATGCAATAGTAAGAAGGCTGGAAGGATCCAATTCCATCTTCTAGACTCATGGGAAGCACTGCAACTATGCAAATTTGAGACTGCGTCAGCAAACTCCCACAGGAAGGGATCAAAGTTCATTCATTTGACAGATATTTTTAAAGGGGTTCCTCCTGGTAGAAGACTAAGCTATTGACTGGCTCATTGGAGAAGTAACAGGAAGTTGATATTGTTACCTTTTCAAAAACATCACAAACGATATAAACCTTGGTACATATAAGTACACTTTCTCTTGCAGGATGGCATCTACTATCTTGTCAACTACATATTCTGGTTCCAGAACTGGTAACAGAAAAGGACGGCTAAGGAGTAAAAACAAAAACAAAAACCCAAGTTAATAAATTACTAAAAAAAAAAAAATCTTACAAATTAGGGATAAAAGAGGCTTAAGAAATTATCACTTACTTGCTTCTTTGACCTATTTCTATATATACTCCTTTATCATCAACATGCTAATAACAACTTTCCTCTGAAATGGCACCTGATGATTCTAATTAATAAACTGGTGTTACAATATGCGTATACGTGAAACCATAGCAAGCAACTTCCTGTCATCTCTGTGAGAGGCAGACTTGGGCATTCGTGCCCTTTCAGGGATTTTTCAGTCCTTCCATGGAGTCGGCCAGGGAAGGGGGCAGAATGTAGTTTGGTGGCAGAGAGAGAACACCACAACCAGGGATGCTGGGGAGGTGGTCAGCACATCTGGCCTTGGGGTGGTAGGAGCTGGACCCAGCCTTGATAAACCCATCCACATTAAAATCAGTATCTTAAACACAAACACATCTGAAGAAGGAAAAAAATCTGAGATCTCTTATAAATCAGGCTAAGAAATGTAAAAAAAAAATACAACAAAATAAAACAGGTGGTTAGTCATTTCTAAAAATGCAGTTTCTCTGAGATCAAAGGACATACTTACACAGTTGAACAACCTTCAAACATGCCAGTGTTAATAAAAAATGGGCATACAATAGTGGTTTTGATGCCGTTTAGTTTCTGGACTACTGTTTCTGCAAATATAGATTCAGCAAATCCAAGGGCTGCAAATTTACTTGCACAGTAATCTGAAAAAGGCAAACAACGCTAATGTATATTCTAGAGCTTTTAAAATGGCATTACATCAAAGTTTCCTCATGACACTAATACAAATGGAGAATGAGACAATGATTCCAGAGTTATTTTGTAGATCTTGGTCTCTGTGCCAAGAGGAACAAGTGGAGAGGAACAGTATCACGTAAAGGTTGGTTGACAAAAAGGGCCAAGTGCCCTCCAGGAGACACCAGGCTTCCGGGCGCCTCCTGCAGGTCACATTGCTAGACATCACTTCCACTCTGACAAGTGATCAGACACTGTGCCAGCTGTTACACAGGGCACAACGTGGGCGTCCAGTCCTTGTCCCGCAGACTTTCCAAAGTATCAGGGCAGAGAGATACACAGAAGAAGAAATCCATTAATAAAGGCCTGTAGGAGTCCAGGCAAGAGAGATCTACATGGGCTGTGATACTCAGATCAAATTTTCTTCTAACTCTGACTCTCTTCTGCTTGCTGGAGAAAACGAGACTGAGGAACACCGAGCTCTATCTCTTACACGTCTTGAAAATGCAGGGGGAGTGGGAAGCGGCGTCGATGTCAGTTTTGAGCTTTCTGCCTACAATCATACATCAACTAAACAGCTGCATATTGGGCTCAAAAAATGGGGACATTTGGGGGAAGAAAAGGCATTTAGGTGGCCCCTGACTTTCCTTTTCCTCACACCATCCGAAGAGGCAAAGGGGCTGTCCTTGCTCTGGCAAGAAGCAGCCACTACAACTGGCAAGAGTCAGGTCCCTAGGTTGTGGTGGGTTAGACAGTAGAGGACAGGATCTGAGCAGCTTCTAGGATCACCTGAGTCATTTGGTACGAACGCAGGTCAGTGAGTCCCTGCATTTCTGAGATTCCCATGAGCAGATGTGGTCCAGGACTCTAGTAATCTGCATTCTAAATAGCACCCTCGCTGATTCTGATGCAGGGGAGCCAAGATCCACACCGAGGGAATTACAAAAATCTTACACGTTTCTAGGGTGAACAGGGCATGGGAGAGTCTTATATCCTAAGATAGAGACATTGTGCCAGGAAAAGGATTCAGAGGAGCTGCAAATAGACCTGTAGGAGTTCAGAGACCCATGAGGTAACAATAATACCTGGTGAATTCTAAGAAGGATGGAGGAAAGGAAGTTCCATGCACGGGGAGATGTGTATAGATGGGTAACTGTATAGATTTGGGGTGACTGGTGGTTCTGAAAACCCTATTCCTGTAACTGAGGTGAACTGTGCCAAGACCACTGCTATGCACCTTGAGCTTCGAGTCTTCAACCAGTGGACAAGCAGCGAGGATAATTTTAGATTTCTTGGGCTTGAGAAACTTTCTCCAAACCCACACCAGAAAGAATCTATTTAATGGAAATTTCAGAAGCCAGAATGCTCCTCCTTACCATCCTGATAACAGCACCAGGGAAATTCTGGGGGACGGTGCCTATGCTCATCACTTGTGTAAAAATAATTTATCAGTAAGGTCTCTTTCTTTCTTTTTTTAAAGCCCAGGGAACTGCACTGACCCAGTGATTCCAAAGTGCATAGTTCAACCTTGTATAAGCAAATCTGATGGGCAGTTTTGCTGTACCATGTTCTCAACCACTTACCTTATTGAGTATGGCTCTTAATTTATAACCCTTTATCATTTGTACATCAAATCAACGCTGATTATTCAGAGCTAAGTAAGATAAAGTTATAAAACTTTTTGCAACTACTAAATTTCTCTTACCTGCCAGTTTATTTATTCCAACTAATCCAGCTGAACTTGAAATGCAAACCAAATGTCCATGGTTATTAGCGATCATAGCAGGTAGAAAGGACTTATAAGTCTAAGAAGAACAAGGAAGAACTGTTAACATTTTGTACTTTTTTTCAGAAGGTTATATGACCATTCTGATGAAAAGAGAGTCCTTCAAGTTCATAAAAATACCTGAAGGCACTGGGGTATAAAAATGTAAACATCTGGAAAGTAAGCCTCATAGTTTGTTCAATCAGTATTTTCCTGGTGGCAGTTCCAGAATTATAAAAAAGTATTTATTAAGACTTATATTTAGCTCATATTTGACTTTGAAAAACAATATTCAGACAATAATCGAAGCAGTATTGGAGAATCTTAACTGTGGCAGACACAATCCACAAACCAGTAAGAGTACTTGGAGAGGTATGATTATTTAGATTTACATTGCCTTTCCCACACTCCTGTTTGGATCATATTTGGATTTCAAATTTTTCTGAACATTGTTCATAGGACACACTGATGTTGGCTTCAGTTTAAAAACATCACTTTGTTTTGAAATTCACCTCTACTTTGAATAATGGTTTCTAATTTTTATTCCACGCCAGTAGAGAGGATAGAAGATAGAGAGAAAGAAAGGATGTGTGTTGTGTCTCAGTACTCTAGAGCACCTTCACCTTTGATGTGGGGCCTGGAAAAAGAAGGTAAAGGAGGGAGAAATGAGCTTTGATAGAAGATATATTCTGCAACACAGAAATAAGTCTTAAATAGAAATACTTAAAAAAAAAAGAAAAAAGAAATACTTGCTTATTTATGTGAATTTGTATTCATGCTTATTTTCAAATTTGAATCATATGAATAAATATGAGAAAAGGGATCTCTTATAAAAGTCAAACAACCTTTGTGTGCATCACAATGACTTTCAGAGAGAAACTAACGCTTAGAGAGAGGTGGAAAATCACAACAGCACAGCATAATAAAGAGCTCCCTGAGTTGTGAAGGCCTGAGATGAGTCTTCTTACTTCTCCCTGGGGATGCGTCCCTTAGGAGCACGGTCACCAGGAGCCCTCTGACCCACTAGCAAGTGCCTACTCTATGCAGGGGCTCAAAGAACGTATGTGGATTTGACCAGGAAGAGTGTCCAGAGTGAGGATGATGGGGGCCAGGGACACACCAGCATTTTGGGGACAACTAGAGGAAGAGGGAGACAAAGGAGAGAGAGAGAGGAGAACCAGGGGAAAAAAGAACACAGCAGGAGTGGAGACTTTCAAAGATTATGGTTTTATCTTCATTCTGGCTGAAGACTCTAACTTCATCCTAATGAAGGAGAGGGATATTTGGGACAAGACACCATAAATCACTTGCAGTAGCTCCTGAAGGTAGGTAGTGGCCACTTAGTTCTGGATCTTTTCATCTTTCTCCTGGAAATAATACGAACACCAATAATACCACCAATGCCAGGACACTTTTGGTGAAAGTAGGGGACAGAAACCTATAAAGTCCAAATAACATTGGACTTCAGTTGCCAAATGAGATTTGGGCAGGGAGTCCAAGTGAGGAGACATAAGGAGCATGGGGGGAAGCTCAGACATCCAGGAGAGTCGAAGAAGAGATGTCTCCTTCATTCCAGAGAGAACCACCCAGGGCAGTGGGAGCAGGGAAAGGCAAGGGAGGGTATGCCCGTGGGTGAGGAGGCATGGCAAGACTGGTTTTAGCTAAAGCCAGGAAAACCCAACATCTGCAAGGGGCAGATCACCTTGGAGGTCAGGGGCTGTGCCCTTTAATGCCCACAGCTCCTGTCCTGTGCCTTTTGATGTCACCAAGCATACTGGTACAAATTCTCCTTTCCCTGGTTAGATACTTAGGGAGGTGACTGCATGTCTTGGTTTGCCCAGAAGAGACGTGATTAATGATTATTTAATAATGTTCACTTTCACTTTATATATATATATATTATTTATTTTTTTAAATCTATTCCATTTTCAAAAGAGTTCTGGCTCAGGCAAATTATAAGGTCACCCTGGTCACGTCTATGTGTCTATGTGCTGTCATTTCTGTGTAGCCTTGAGCAAATCTTTTAACTCCCCTGATCCCTTATTTCACTGAGCTATTTCAAGGATTATACAGGAGGTGCCAAGGAAAGTATCCGACATAAACTGGCGATCAATAAGTGACAGTAAGGCCTTGGGACAGTTGTGTCTTTGCAGGATTCCTGAGCAGAGGCTCAGACAGGTGCAGGTTACGTCAGATCAAGGGGGGACAACTGGGTAGACTGAGACGAATCTAAAATCAAGACGTCTGTGCTTTAGTTAGGGGCAAATAAAATTTTAAGAGAACGAGAGGAGGGTTCTTCTAAATTCAGAGTAACTTTATATTTGTTACAAGAAGAAAGAAATAATTACCCATAAGTGTGCTTTGAAATTCACATCTAAAGCTTTTTCCATCAGCTCATCTGGGCAGTCGAGGAAATTTTTGCCTGTCACGACTCCGGCATTGTTGATTAGGATGGAGATATCACCAACTTCTTTTTAACCTGAATTGAATGAGACAGGAGCAACAGCACCAATGGAGTAATTCTTTACATGATCTAAGTCTCGTTTTCCCATAGCTTTCTATGTTTCTTTTCCTTGTTAACTCAGATGGAGTGTACGCACCCGGCAAATAAAGTATCCTTTATTTTCTTTGCTGAGTTTATAGTGTGTCAGACATCCACGTCTGATGCTCTTCTTATTTTTCCCCCTGTCTCAGGACCATTCCAACATTGCAGGGCTACTACCTTCCTTAACAATTAGAGCAGTCAGAGCTCTTCTTATACTAGGTGATCAGTCACATTGTTTCAGGCTCCGTGTAAGTGGTAGGTCATTTCAATTATTGCAATAGGGCATAAGGCCTTAGAGCCAAGTCATAGAAATCAAGACCCAGCACACACTGAGATGAGGTGGAGTAGGAAGACACAGAAAGAACACGAAGTTCCTAAACAGGTTTGACATGGCACAGCTCAGAACCTGTCTGTCCTGCTGTACCAGCTAGCTGGTTTTCTTCTCCCTACCACGCGCTTCTAGGTGTTAAGATATGTGAAGGGGCTGCTGCAACACTGGCCAGAGCAGGTACTCAATGACTTGTAGTTAAGAGACAAGATTTCTGGGTGTGACCTTGGAGCATTTCGTTTATGGTAAATCTTTAGCTTATAATCTTGGCTCTTATGGTAGAAGTGAGCACAGGATTTTCCAGGATTGGTGACAGGAGATGGTGGTGTCCCTTTGCCTCTTTCTGTGTTTTGAATTTCATTACTGTAATTTGTATCCTACGGCAGGGGCTCTGTCCCCAGATCAGTGAGAACCACTGGTTGTACTTGCCCTGTGCTCAACAACAGGAAGCTCACGGCAGTACCCTAACATCTCCCGTTCTCTGTGTGTGTGTGTATATGTGTGTGCACGTGTGCGTGCATGAGCGCACCTCCCTATATGAATGGCACAGGCTGGCACAGAGCAGGCTGTATTACTGAAGCTGGGTAGAAGCAGCCACCTCTCTCATCTATGTTGTGGAAGGCCTGGGTCCCAGCAACGAGGGTGATGTGTAAGGTATTTATTAGCCAACTAGATCCGTAGCCTAGGGAAAATTCAGGATGAAATAGAGCCTACAGAAACCCCACATTTTATGACAAAGCTTTCTACAGAAACCCCACATTTTATGATAGAGCTTTCAGATAAAAGCACTGGAAACACTCTGACTTCAAGTTTTATTTGGAGAGGGGCTAAAACATTGAAGTCAAATTCAAGCTGAACAGCAGTCGAGGCTAGAAACAACTAGCCTTACCTGGGGTTAAAATCAGGTCCAGGCTTCCAGGTCATTCCAGGTACGTCATGAACGAATCAAGGGAATAAAAGGCACAGTACGAAGCATATAGTCAGGGAACTGTAATAGTGTTGTATGGTGCCAGTTGGTACCAGCACCTGTTGTGAGCGTAACATAACACATGGAACTGCTGAATCACTGTGTTGTACACCTAAAGCTAATATAACATTGTCTATAAACTATACTCCAAAAAAAAAAAAGAAAGAAAGAAAAGAAAAGAAAAGCAAAGCTGGACAGGGCTGTGGAATGGAAGACAGTACTAGCATCAGAGGCTGATGTCCTAGCTCAGTCATGGATGGCAAAGCTGGAAGTTACATCTCAGAGAAATAAATAGGTGTGTGTATCCACTGGTGCTTCCTTCATGAACAAAGCATGTTATCATGTCCTTGACAGAATAAACACCAGAATTTCAAAATGGCATCTGGTTTTATTAGCCATGGCTTGTATCTTTGCAGTATGTGAAAATTCTATCTTTATGAATCATACTTTAAATGTACTGGGCTAAGTATTTGTGATAAGATTTTTCATGTGAATAATCTTCCTATTGCTTTATCTGTTTTGTACATAGGTTTATCTTTTTTTTTTTTTTTAAGGATTATCTTGCTCCAAAGTCTGCTTTTTCCTTTTATGTAAAGCTTTGAAAGACATCATGAGTATTCAGCCTCTGCCCTGTTGGGGAAAAAAGGGATCAAGTTCAACTGTACTTCACTTATATATTTAACTATTACTGACCAGATAACACAATAAAGCTCATCCATGGGATGAACTTATGCTCATAATTGTTTGCAATTATGCTTTTTTATAAGAGACACGGGGTACCATCTAAGGGAAATGATACAGACTAGTTTTTAACTAGTTTTCTTTTTTTGCATCCATTATTCTCCTCATTGTAAGAATGTGGCAACAGTCTGTTCAACCCTGGATAACAGGTCTAGTGAGATTCCCACAGAAACTGTCCCTGCCTAATGGTAGGGATTCCTCTACAAACATCCACGCTGTAAGAAAAGCAAGAAGACAGCAAATCAGTGTCTAACTTTAAACTGTCCAAGATACTGGGATGCCTGGGTGGCCCAGTGGTTGAGCATCTGCCTTTGGATCAGGGTGTGATCGTGGAGTCCTGGGATCGAGTCCCACATCAGACTCCCTGCATGGAGCCTGCTTCTCCCTCTGCCTGTGTCTCTGTCTCTGTCTCTCTCTCTCTCTCGGTGTCTCTCATAAATAAATAAATAAATAAATAAATAAATAAATAAATAAATAAAAATAAACTGTCCAAGATACTAATTTGAACTTCCCAACCACAACTTATTAGTGGTGATGGGCAATAAAGAAAGGTCTGCTAGTGACCACGTGGTTTAAAAAAAATGAAACATTCCTGAAATTTGACCTTGCACATCAGGAAGCAGAAATAAACCTTAAGGTGTTCTCATAGATGTCACAAATAAGGCTTTTTTTTTTCTATTGAATCAATGCAGTCAATTGGAGGTATGCCAAGTAAAATTGATTCTGATTTGGACTAAGGGATGTCATTAAATGTACTCAGACACTTCCACATGCCATGGTAAAAGGTATGCCACTACACAGCTCTAGTCTGGTCTTGTGTTCATTGCTCAAAATAATTGCTTACCTAGGATGCCAAGTTCTGAACTTGGGGCCAAACTATGATCTGGGGACACAAGCGTTCAAAGTTCTTGGTGTCTGTGGAGATGGCACACTGTCATACCACCCTGAAAAGTTTCACCTTGATCACTGCTCTATGGAATACTTAAAACAAAAAAAAAATCCCCGGTACCTTCTCTCTATCCAGAATAAGAAGGGCAAATGGCTGGTTTATGAGCAGAGTTGAGTTTGCTTCCCCTGAATTGAGAAGAGCACGTAATCAATTCTTTTCAAGACCCATAAGTAAGAAAAGCTGAATAATAAGCTGGTAATATTCAATGTTTGACCATTTCTGAGCTAAGAATCTTGGCCAGAACTAAATCACAGATATAGGGAAGAGGCAATTATTTATTTATAGAGTGTCTCATATTAGCTTGCTCAATATTGGAAGGTCATCAGGACTTGAACATGAACCAATTATTGCTTAACAGTGGCTAGAGAAGTTGTTTGCCGTCATCATGAGTGAACACATCAGGTGATCAATGCTTCAAGTGCACAGGGATTAATCTGTGAGGTTGGCAAAGGCAAAGACACACCTGCACCTTGAGGGAGGTGCTAGCTTGTCAGGTTTGGGTCTCCAGACTGTACTGGGCTGCTGGTGATTGGAGATGGTAGTTACAGATATATAGCATTTAAAGACAAATTTAAACAGAAGCTACACAATCACCCACCAATGACCTGCCAACCTTACCACTAGGAAGTGAGGTGGGAAGGAGATTTGAGGTAGGGTCTACAAGCTGTGAAAGAGCTTTCCAATGTGGCTGACCTGCTCTTTGCAGGCCAGTCTGGTTCCTTCCTTCTTACTGAATTGGGGGATTCTGGGTGCCACCAAAAAAGTGGCCCAGGATAGTGATGTGTGGAGTACTCATGACAATGAGGGGGGGGAGGGGATAAGAAAACTCTTTCCACTGCATAGTGGGGTTATGACTTCCTGGAAGCCTTCTTTACTCGTGCAGCTGTATCATCACCAAAGAAGCCACAGCAGTTAAGAGTCTTTAGGATGAATAAAATATTCTGATTTTCTTATGACTATTTTAAAAGAAATACACATTCAAATGAAAGGCACTGTGGTATGGTGGAAACAGCTGGATTTAAACTCAGACTGAAATGGGTTCAAGCCTTCACTTAGTTATGTGCTAGCTCTGGGACCCTGAATAGATTATTCCATATCTCTATGTCTCCTTTCTCCTCCAAGAAGGGGGCTACCCTCTACCTCTTATACTGTAACAGGGGCCGCACAGTCCCTACCGTCCACTGGGCAGGGAAGAGTAGGTCCTCTGTAGTCAACAGACTCAAGGCTGAGCTGGATCTTCGCTCCTTAGTAGCTGTTTCTTAGGGGAGCTACTTACCTCCTTAAGTCTTGGTTTCCTTATTTGTGAAATGGGCCTCATAATGGACCTCACTTTATAGGACTATGATATAATATAGATGGGGTGCTTAGTATGGTATATTGTATACAGTGACAATTCAAAAACCCTAATTTTCACTCCCCAATTCTTTTTTTTTTTTTTTGAGAGAGACAGAGACAGAGATAGCGAGAGAGAGTGTGAATGGAGAGGAGAGGGAGAAGCAGGCTCTATCCCAGGACCCTGGGATCATGACCTGAGCCTCCCAGGTGGCCCTCCCTAACAGTTTTTAAGTTAAAGGGATGCTGGAGACAGGCAAATCTGCACTGAGCAAAGCAAAGAGACAAAGGAGGCACGTGTGTGAGCGTATCTTAGAGTGCTCACTACCCACGGGGAAGAGCGAGACACAAGAACTACCTGCTCGGCCACTCTGTATATGTCTTCCCTTTGGCTGCAGTCGCAAGTGTAGGCATAAACTCTTGTGGCTCCGGCTTCCCGGGCCATCCTGCACGTGTCCTCATTCCCCTCCTTGTTGATATCCCAGAAAACCAGCACCGATCCAAGGCGGGCAAATCTGAGGGCCAAGAGCCTTCCCAGTCCGCTCCCGGCGCCAGTGATGAGCACGATTTCACCAGCAACGTTCTTCCGTGGTTTGGGGATGATGGTGAAAACCATAGATTCCAGACACGCAATCACTGATTTTCCTAAGAAAACGACCAAGTCCTTGGCTGACTTCAGGTTAGAAGCCATGTTGTGGCTGAGACCTATGAGAAAAAGAGACTCACATAAAGACCTCGGTGACTATTCCCTCTGACTGTGCAGACGACCCAGAGCTCATGTTTTCTGAGATAGTAGGAGAAACTGGGACATGTAATTTAAACTTCCCTCTTGGTAGCAGACTTTGAACTTAAGACACAGAGACTGTGTCTTGGCCAGCTTTCATTCACAGCACCAAGCGGGGCTCACATCTGAGTGTTGTACAGGACAGAAATGTTCCCTAACTAGGAGCTGTAACCATGCCAAAGTTTAACACAAAGGAGAAGTTAATTATTTCTCATAGTTAACCTTTCTTCATAATAATCTCAAGTCCTGTTGACTGCTTTTATTATATTGTAATATTTGTATGATAATTGCTACCTCTCTGGTTTTACTTTTGTCTCCTTTTAGGTTTGTGGTTATTGTTGTTGTTGTTTTTAAGATTTATTTATTTGAGAGAGAGAGAGAGTGAGCATGAGCAGGGGAAGGGGGCAGAGGGAGAGGTTGCGGGAGAGAAGCAGACTTCCTGCTGAGAACAGAGCCCTATGCAGGGTTCTATCCCATGACCCTGCGATTATGACCTGAGCCAAAACCAAGAGTCCAACTCTTAACCAACTGAGTCACCCAGGCGCCTCTGGGTTTGTGTTTTTTAATTTGCACAGTTCTTCTTTAATTCTGTGTCACTATTTCAAATCTGACATTCAATAGATAAAGAAGATGTAGGGTACACACGCACGCGCACACGCGTGCACACACACAGATACCACACAAAGGAATGTTATGCAGCCTTAAAAAAGAATGAGATCATGCTATTTTCAACAACATGGATAGAACCAGCGAGTATAATGCTAAGTAAAATGAGTCAAACTGTGAAAGACAAGTACCATATGGTTTCACTCATACATGGAATCTAAAAAAAAAAAAAAGAATACACAAGTAAACAAAAAGAAGAATCAGACCTATAAATACAGAGAAAAATGGAGGGAGGATGGGGAAAATAACTGAAGGGGAGTGGGAGATATAGGCTGCCTTCCAGTTATAGAATGTGTAAGTCATGAGGATAAAAGGCACAGCACAGGGAGTATAGTTAATGACACTGTAACAGTGCTGTGTGGTGACAGATGGTAGCTACACTGTGTGCACAGCATGACATCTAGACTTGTTAAATCACTATATTATACACCTGAAACTAATGTAATATGGCATGTCAACTATACTCAAGTAACAAACTTTAAAAAAGAATCTGAGATTCAAGAAAAAAATGTAAAATCCTATTTGTAGAACATATTAAAAAAGGAGTCATTGATATTCTAAACCTTTTCACAGTTTCACTGTGAGCGTGGGATACCCATTCCCCAGATTCTGGGAACTCCATCCCACGTCACTGACCCTTCAGCCTTGGGACTGTAGAATATAGGTGAGAGACAGATGAGACCGCTGTCCTGCCCTGCCCCTGCCTACCTGTGAAACCTAGGGCAGGCTACTTGCCTATCTGGGCCACAATCTCCACGTATCTACTGGTCCTGTGACATAGGGTGGTTTTGCAGATGAAATAGGAATGAATGTTATGTGTAGGACCACAATGCTAGCTCACAGTAAGTGCTTTATGAATGTTAGCATGTTTCTCAGATTTAGAGTCCTGCTCACCAAGAAATCACCCAATAGGTTTGCTGAATGAATAAAAGGCCTCCCTTTGACAAACTCATACAGGGCTATAGTTTACATCCTGTTATCAGTTGCTCAACCTTTGGTGAGAATGAGTTTATAAGATGCTTTACTAAAAGCCAGCTGGGAAAGGGAAGGTCTTATTTCCTACAGGATGAGAAGACATGTTTAGCAGGAGCATCCTGTGCTGGAGGTGGGAGGCTTCTCTGAATGGGGTGTCCAATTGAGAGGCACAGATGAGGGCAGGAGATGTCCTTCATTAAAGAACCAGCAGATTCACTTACTTGGCAGTTTGGTTGAGGACAGACTAGTCACTATTTATGATGATGGGTGGATAGATTCATCAACAGCAGGGCTTGGAGCATGGTGAGACCCTTAGAAGTCACTGTGACCTAAATTGTTGTTTCTTGGCTCATTGTACAGATGGGACTGAAGATCAGTAAGACTATGTATATAGTTTACCCCAGGTCCTGGTGCTAGGTAGTGCAGGGCCAGCTGAGTTCATTTATTATATTTACTGAGCCCTGATGCTGTGCAGGTCTGATGCTGGACATTGGGACTGAGGGAGTGAGCAGCCTCCCATGATCACTGTCTTTGTGAACCAAGGGTCTAGTTGAAGAAACAGACACTGAGCAAATAAATACATCACTACAAACTGTTATATTACAAATAAAACTACAGGGTGCTATAGAGAATAGATGGGAGATCTGGTTTAGATCGGGTGCTGGGGAAGAAGCAACAAAAGAGATTTGGTGGAAGGTGACATTTGAGCAAATGAGGAATGGTCAGAGGTACACAGAGAGAGAGATCTGGGAGTGGCCTGACCAACAGATGGAAGGAAGAGTTTGAGGCTCGAGGTAGTTAAAGCCTGAGAATTAGAATCCTGGTGGTAGGAGGCATGGATGTTTTGGTTAAAGAGAGTTCTTGTTGTGGAGCACTGGGTTTCACCATACTTTGGATGAAATGGCCCTCAAACTCTCTGCCATTTTTGCTTGGATTTATTTTCATATAGTAGCTTTGGATGATTGATTTGAATGATTTGCTGAATGTAAAAAAAAGGCCTCCCCTTTTAGAAAAGAGCCTCTCAGGCTCTGCACAATTTGGAAGGAAGGTGCCTTAAAGGGAAAACCGTGGTTTTCAGACTTTCATTTTAAGCACAGTCGAGGGGACTGTGTCTTTAGACTGGCAAGGGTGATGGCCAGACTTGCCACAGTAATGGGGCACCGTGGGCACCTTCTCCAGGCAGCAGCCTGGGTGACTCCCAACAGTCCTTCCACGAGAAAACCTACACCAGCTCATCCATGCCCCCTTTCAGGCACACCACTATGCAAGTCCATGCCAGAGGGACAGAGGTCTGTTTCTCTCCTCAGTGGGTTCCAACACCATGTGGATGGCTACGACTCTCACCACTGACCTGGGAGAAGGTTCTTAATGCCAGAGGCCCTAAACTCCAGCAGTCCACTGTCTCAGTGCTGGCACGATGTAAGACCTAGAGCAACGTCTTACTGCTTATTGCTGTCTCGGCCAATGCTTACTAGGTTCTTAAGAGCTTGGCATCCTGAGATCACCCTCACTTGGGGTTTAGGGTGTCTGTTGGGTATCTGCACAGGTAGTCAGGTGTAGAGATTAAAGTTTGCGCTGGAATTCTGGATCTGCCACTGATTTCTCTGCAACGTTGGTTAAAGTTTTCTTTTGTACCTCTTCTAATAAGAGGATTCCACACTATGCACTGACGGAGGAAATGTGGAAGTGAAAAGATTTAATATGCCCCTCTCTCTGTCTCTCATGAATAAATAGACAAAATCTTTTTTAAAAAAGATTTAATACAGTCAAGTATTAAGGCATGTAATATGGTCCCTATGTTCCCTTATGAAATTTCTGAGCACATTGGGCGAAGAAAAAGGTCTTCACTGCCCTGCGCACAGCTCCCTCCAGGATGTACTGGGTGGGGGCAGGGGTGGGACAGGAGGAGCTGGGCTGGATTTCAGCACCTGCCAGGTGACACCTCATCTCCATCTCCACCCCTCATGCCCAAAATGTGTAGGCCTTGCTAGAACCATGCCAGGCACAATGACTATGCATTGGCTAGAGTTATGATTGGTGCTCCTGCATATGAATGATGATCCCTGCCCATAGGAAGGAAAGATGGTTCTAGTAAGCACACTTACAAACACCTTGTAAATAAATGTAAGGTTTCATTTTAGTGCAAAGACTCTGTCTTAGGAAGTTACAGAATATATTAAATTTAATCAGTTTATACACCTCTTTGGGGTCTGCATCCCATTCCCTGACTAGTTCAAAAACTGAACCAACTTGAGGCATCTGGCCAGCTCAGTCCAGAGGGCAGCGACTCTTGATCGCAGAGTCGTGAGTTCAAGCCCCACGCTGGGCACAGAGCTCACTTTGGAAAAAAAAAAAAAAGGAAGAAGAAGAAGAAGAAGAAGAAGAAGAAGAAGAAGAAGAAGAAGCAGCAGCTAAACTACCCTGTGCAGTGTAAACACGTGCCTTCTTCCCAGGCCAGGGCGCACGCAGCAAGTTAGGGGGACGTGATGAATTGGGGGCGGCGAGGGGTGCAGACGCGCCGGGCAGCGGAGAGCAGGTGCCGCTCCCTCCCGCTCACCCCAGTCCGCCCGCCCCGGCTCGCGCGCGCCCGCCCGTGGGCCCCCACCCCGGGCCCCCACCACCCACCACCCCGGGCCCCCTCGTACCCCGCCCCGTGCCCCCCCCCCCCCAGCCCCAGCAGTGCCGCCCGGGCGGGGCACCGAGCTACCGGCGCCTCCGGCCGCCCAGCGCCACTCCCCGCCCAGGGCTTCGCGCGCCGGGTCCGACCGGGGGTCACTCACCGAGCGCACGCAGCCGTCGCCGCCGGCCCAGGAGCCGAGTCTGCCGGGCGAGGTTCCGGGGTTTATCTCGGAGGCGGCCCGAGGCCAAGTCCACGGCGGCAGGCTCCGCCCGCGTGGGTGGAGCCGCCCCGGGGCCGCAGCCACGTGGGCCCGCGCTCGCTCGCTCCCTTTCCTTTTCTTTCTCCCTGCTCCTTCCTTCTCCTTCTCTTTCCTTCCTCCCTCCTTCCCTCCCTCCCTTCCCTCCTTCCCTCCCTCCCTCCCTCCCTTCCTTTCCCTCCCTCCCTCCCTCCCCCATTCCTTCCTTCCCTCCTTCCCTCCTTCCCTCCTTCCTTCCTTCCTTCCTTCCTTCCTTCCTTCCTTCCTTCCTTCCTTTTCCTTCCTTTTTTCTCCAGGCCACTAGCCCGGGGATATCCTATCGTTATGGCTGGACACAGGCGCTGGGATTTCAGTTTGAAGAATCATCCCTGGAGTGTGAAAGTTTCTGGTATCCAGGCTGCATCCCACATAATTAAATCAGAATTTCTGAGTTGGAAGGGGCGCAGGCATCAGCATTTAAAAAGTTTCCAAAGCGGGCAGCCCGGGTGGCTCAGCGGTTTAGCGCCGCCTTCAGCCCAGGGCGTGACCCTGGAGACCTGGGATCGAGTCCCGCGTTGTGCTCCCTGCATGGAGCCTGCTTCTCCGTCTGCCTGTCTCTGCCTCTCTCTCTCTCTCTCTCTCTCTCTCATGAATAAATAAATAAAACCTCTAAAAAAATTTTTTTTTTAAAATAAAAAGTTTCTAAAGCACAGCCCAGGAGGAGGGGTAGGAAAGGAGGCAGGTGCAGGAGTCCTTGGCTGGGGGACAGGGAGCACGCTCTGGGAACCAGGTCAGTTCTCTGCAGCTTGCAGAGCAGGGCAGAAAGGAGGAATTCCCCAGCAGAATCAGATTCCTGCAGTTGAGATCAAGGTCAACAGCTTCCCTGGCCCCTTGCCTGTAAGGAGTGTGGGTGTGGGAACACAGCTTGGAAGGCGGGCGGGGTGCTGGGTCCAAGTGGGTGCGGCACTGGCAGGAGGCCTAGAAGTAGGGGAGGGCGAAGCTTGTTCCAAGGAGATGAGGTTGAGAAAAAGTCAACACTGTACTCTGGTCCAACCAGAGTGTGCACTGAACACCTGTGTACAAAGATCTAGAAGATACAGCAATGCCGCATTTGTCCAGATAAAAAAAAAGTTCGGTTTATTAGCTGAGCCTCTAACCCTCTAGTAGGGTAAATCACTGCTGAAATGCTTATAATACAGGGTGGGGTGTGTTGGATGGCATAAGGAGCTGGAATATTAATAAATGATGGAGTGTTGAAGGAAACCCAGGGAGTCAGGACAAGACTGTGTTTGGAATTCACCAAAGGTTGGGAAGGACACAGAAGTGGTAAAAGCTCAAAGGAGAGCAGATTAGCCAACTGGTATGTGAGGAATGTGAATTTGTTTTTTACTTGGCTGTGAGAAGGAACAGGTAGGTTGTATAGGCCTTGAAAAGTGGGTGGAGGGAAGAGCCTTGAGTGTCATTTCAGCGTGTTACTGGTGTTCTGCAAGCTGTGGTGAGTAGAGCAAAGTGCATAGCTGTGCTATCTGAAGGTGAAAGGGACAGGTGAGCAATCATTGCCTAGAGGCGTGTGCTGTGCAGGGCTGGGTGTATGGCTCTGGAGAACTGCAGAGCTTTTGGGAGCCAGGGGGAGACTCACTCATGAACTGCACATGTGTGAATGTCAGTGCCAAAAGTTCAGAAATAATAGACATCAAACCAATGTATCACTGAACTAGTAATTAGTAAAAGTTTATTGCACACACACACCAGGAAGTTTGCAGACTGGGAGCACTCAACCCAAAACATAGAACGAGTCTCAAGGTAAAGCGGCTTATATAGTGACAAAGCAGTGACCGGTTATTTTTCACTGTGACTGGTTGTAATATTAGAGGTTTCTTAAATGATAGGAAATTGGCCAGTGGGTACCACATATCAACCTTAAGAAGCAGTTTAAGCTTCGAGGTATAAGCGGGAAACAACCCAGGTCAAGTTAGCCTTACAAAATAAGCTAAATTAAATTTTGCTCCTATGACTAAACTGGTTTTGTCTACTTGGGGAGTTTTCAACGCTGGCCCCTATTGTTCCCCCCCCCCCCCCCCGTTGGTTTTTTAACAACAGACATGCACTGCTTGCTCCTGGTGCATAGAATTGCACCTAGGACCTAACTAGTTTTCACAAGGAGAGGTCACTGGAAGGGCCTTCCAGACTTCGGAGTCAGAATGGGCCAAAGTGGGGAGGTGGGCACCACCTAGGTGTGGCGAGAACTCTGGCGCAGACTAGTCAATCATGGGCTCCTGCTCACACCATGTGCCTGCAAGAGGTCACATGGGCAGCCAGTGGAAAACACCAGCCTCTGAACCCTTCATGTTTTCTCTGAGCAATATTCTGAGCTGTCACTCTTTTTCTGGTGAGAAGTTCAGGGCAGAGCTCAGGAAAGAAATCTCGAGCATTATCAGAAATCCCATTAAAACAAAATATGAATGTAAAGCAGTGGCAGTTTCACAAATGATGTGATTAAGGGAAATAGAAATCTTTGGGTTTGGAGAAGACCCCAATTTGACTCAAAGTGAGGACTCAGTGGATTGACTATGATCCTGAAAGATAAAGTATTTTTAAAAGGTCCTTTGTGGTAAAGGCTAGGGAAAGCCATGAAATGATGGAAGATGTAGACTAGGCTAATGAACAGAGGAAAACAGGCTCTAACTTCATTCTTAGCAAAATGAGTAGTAAAATGTGTCTTGCTTTCCAAAGTGACAAATATTAGAAAAAAAGAGCATGTCTTCCTAAGGGGGTGGTGTTATTTATACATTGCTGGAGAGCAAGTATGTATCAAGAGCTAGAAAGGTTTATACCTCACACCTAGTTCTACCAATAGGATTTTATCTTTACCAAATAATCAGGTCTCATTTGTTGAGTCCAGGAAGGGAAATTGGCCAATGGAGTCATGGGCTGGAAGGGAGACTTTTGGTTGTATTGAAGCCTGTATTACTCTTTCTGGAAATAAGTAGGTTATTAAAAAACAATTGTCAGTTTCTGACAAGTATACACAGATGGCATGCTCTACAACCATTCCTTATAAAACCATGTGTTTTAAGAGCATAGGAAAATACTCTTTACATAATGTTAGTTTAGAAAGCATAGTGTAAGACTAAATGTGATTCAATTTTTCTGGCAATTTTCATTATAATGCATTAGAAATGCTGGAAGTGAGTTCACCAATATCTTAGCATTCTTTTATTTTCAAATAGTGGAATTTTTTTTTCTTTCTGTCTTTTTGTATTTTCCAAAGTTTCCATTACATACATATTTGTATTTCCCAATAAAAATGTTTCTTAGAGCATACAGACACAAGAAGATTTCCATGTAAGATGGTAGACTGAGTATATGCATTTATATCCTATTTTCTTCCAAAATTCCACTGAAAAAGAAAAGGGAAGATATAAAAATGTGAATAAAAACATAGCAGTGCTTAGAGAAAGAAAGGGACTACAAGTGAGCATGAACTAGAGGTTAGTAAGCAGATGGGTCTGATTTTTAAAAACCAGAGCAAAAGATAGCTTAACCTAAAACACACCTGGGTAAGGCATTGCAGAAAAGAATCCTTCTTCCCAACAGAAACCCTGAGCAACTCCAAGTCAGTAAACAAACAGACCATGGAAATAGGACATGGGGCATCCAGGTGGACAAAGAGTCTTGACACAAAAACAAAACAATGACAGTATTGAAAGGTAATATAGGACAACTATTTTGTAGTTTGGGGCTAGACAAGGGAACCGCTTCAATTCTTCATTTGACTACATACATCAAAACTGTAAATTGTAAAGAGGACTGGCAAAGTGGTGGAAGGGTAGGGTCCTCAGCTCACCCGGCCCCACCAACTCACCTGGATAACTTTTTTTTTTTTTAATTTATTTATGATAGTCACACAGAGAGAGAGAGAGAGAGAGGCAGAGACACAGACAGAGGGAGAAGCAGGCTCCATGCACCGGGAGCCTGATGTGGGATTTGATCCTGGGTCTCCAGGATCGCACCCTGGGCCAAAGGCAGGTGCTAAACCGCTGTGCCACCCAGGGTTCCCCTGGATGACTTTCAAAACATTCTGCACACCTATGAACCCAACCTGAGATTTAAAGAGAGAACAGCTGGAAGCTACAGGGGAAGGGTTTTCACTTCTAACAAGGTAGGAAGGCAGAAAAAGAAAAAAAGGAAAAGAAAAAGAAATAAAGTGGGGGAGGGGCCCCATGACTAGCAGGCGAAAGGGGATGGGCCAGAGGCGGCTGTCCTTTACCCCAGAGGCTGCTAACAGCCAGAGGTGGCTGTCCTCCGTTCTTACGGAGCGGTGGTCCCCGGGGAGCGCAGGTCCAAAGGGCCTGGATCCCAGGGCGCTGGGCAGACACAGCTGTGGATCCTGCGCTCCCCCCCGGGACAGGCGGAGGTGGGGAGGGCACAGGACAGCCAGGACGGTCCTGCCTCCGGGTACCCCCAAGCTGTGCAGATCAGCGCTCCCCGCCCCTGGAGCATACAGGCCAGTGTGCACTGGGAGCTGCAGTGGTTACTGCGGGAGCTGACTCCAGGGCTGGAGACTGGCCGCCGCCAGTGGTGTCCCTCTTGGTGTCACCCTGTGCCTGGAAGGGGCGGGGCCGCCAGGGAACAGAGGCCTCCCCAGGTAAACATCTCCCACTGAGCTGTGCACCTGGCAGGGGGCGGGGCAGCTTCCCCAGGTGCACACACCTGAGAATCAGCACAGCAGGCCCCTCCCCCAGAAGCCCAGCTGGAAGGACAGGGAAGAGCAAGTTCTTGACCAAGCAGTGCTGGAAAGCTCCAGGACTGAGGGGAAATAGTATTTAGAACTAGAGGGTCCCTTTTTTCCCCTTTTCATTATAACTCATTTTTATATCAGCTTAAAAATTTCCAATATTTTTTCTCTTTTCCCACCTAAACTATAATATTTTACCAACTCTTCATTTTTAAGTTTTTTCCTTTTTGATTTTCATATTTCTACAATTACATGTCTTTTTTTTAAGATTTTATTTATTCGTGAGACACACACATACAC